CACATACACATACACACACCTCACACCTCGCACACATACACACACACCTCACACGCATACATAAACACACACTCACACACACACTCACACACACATACACACTCTCACACACACTGTCTCTCACACACACACACACACCCTCCCTCTCACACACACACACACTCTCACACACACCTCACACCTCACACACATACACACACACCTCACACACATACATAAACACACACTCACACACACACACACTCACACATGCACACACTCACGCACACACACTCACACACGCACACATACACACTCACACACACTTTGTCTGACACACACACACACACACACCTCACACACATACATAAACACACACTCACACACACACACACTCACATACATACACACACACCACACATGCACACACACGCATGCGCGCACACACACACATACTCACACACATACATACACTCACACACATACATACACACACACACGCTCACACACACACACATACACAAACACACACATACACTCATATACATACAAACACACACACATGCACACACACGTGCACGCACACACACTCACACACACATACACACACACACTCACACATACACAAACTCACACACACACATACACTCACATACATAGACACACACACATGCGCACACGCACACACACTCTCACACACGCACTCAGACACACACACACACATACACACACTCTCACATGCATGCGCACACACACACACATACACACACTCTCACATGCACACACACACACACACACACACAGCTCGCTGAGCTCCAATTGAGGTACGTAAGTTGCTAAAGGGGACTGACAGAGTAGATATTGAGAGGACATTTCTGGTTGTGGGCTGAGGGGTCATGGATTCAGGAGAAAGGGTAGCAGATTTAAAACAAAAGGTGAGGAATTGCTTCCCTCAAAGGGCTGTGAGTTTGTGTGATTTACTGCCCCAAGGTGTGGTGGATGCTGGGATGTTGAGTCAATTTAAGGAGGAGATGGATGGGATTTTTAACTAGGAAAGGGCATCAGTGAACCAGAGGGGTTTTTCCCCAGACAATTGATTTATGGTCATTAGTAGACTCTTAATTCCAGATGTTAATTGGATTTAAATTCCAACCATCTGCTGTGGCAGGATTTGAACCCAGGTCCCCAGACTATTACCTAGATCAACAATCTGGTGATAATACCACTAGGCCATTGCCTCCCACCCCCCCAAGCTTGTGACCCATTCTTGGGTTACAGTCGTTGAGGGATAAAAGTTGTCCAGGATACCACGGGGAAGTCATGAGAAGAGCGCAGTGGGGTGTTTCATGGAGTGGGAAACGCGAGCTCACTTCCTGATCTTATTGGAAGTTGGCACCTCCGACAGTGTGGCACTGCCTCAGTGTCATGCCAAAATGCCAAGCGGGTATTCCGCATGGCCGCCTGTGGAGCGGGCCTTATCCTGACTCAAGAGATGGAGACTGCCACGTTCACACTGCGACGAAGGAATATCCAGTGAGTATCTCACCGCCAACACTCGTTGGAATTTAGAAGAATGAGGGGAATCTTGTAGAAACATGTAAACTGATGGCGGGAATAGATAAGATGGAAGCTGGAAGGTTGTTTTCGCTGGCGGGTGAAATTGACATGGGGTGTAACCTCAAAATGAGGACTGAGATTCAGGACTGAGTTGAGGAGGAATCTCCTCACCCAAAGGGGTTGCGAATCAGTGGAATTCCCTGCCCAGTGAAGCAGTTGAGCCTACCTCGTTGAATATTTTCAAGGCAAAGATGGATAGATTTTTGAACAGTAAGGGAAATGAGGGTTATGGTGAGCGGGCGGGTAAGTGGAGCTGAGTCCACGAGAAGATCAGCCATGTTCTCATTGAATGGCGGACCAGGCTCGAGGGGCCAGATGGCCTACTCCTGCTCCTAGTTCTTATGTTCTTTTTGTGTGGCTGGGTACTGAGGTCAAGGGGAAGCAGACTTTATTTTTACCTTCCATTCGAACGCCATGAGTTGACTCTGCAGGGGAGGGGATGGCCTAGTGGGTATTATCGCTGGACTGTTAATCCAGAGACCCAGGTGGCGTTCTGGGGACCCAGGTTCGAATCCCACTATGACAGATGGCGGAATTTGAATTTAATAAAAAATATCTAGAATTAAGACTCTAATGATGACCATGAATCCATTGTCAGGAAAAACCCATCTGGTTCACTGATGTCCTTTAGGGAAGGAAGCTGCCACCCTTACTTGGTCTGGCCTACATGTGACTCCAGACCAATAGCAATGTGGTTGACTCTTAGCTGCCCTCTGGGCAATTAGGGATGGGGCAATAAATGCTGGCCTAGCCAGCAATGCCCCTGAATGAGAAAAGAGAGAATCCCATCCGTGTAGTTGTGGGAGACTGTTTTGCTCTTAAAGAAACGCTGTGGACAGAGGTGAGGCAATGCTTTCTGGGAAACAGATGGGAGCCCTAGCACACTTGAAAATCTTGGAGAAAGTCCCCACCAATGACAAGACTCAAGGTGACTTTGTCGATGGAAAAATCAAACAAATATAAACCTGTCGAGATGAAAAGTGAGAGCGCATGGGCGTTGACACAAAACTGTTCCCTTTTAAGTGCTCCCTAAATTCTTGGAGTTCTTTCATTGTCTAAAGGAGTCATCCCTCAGCCACTTTTCCCATCCTTGTGAACCTGTGTTGAGGCTTGTCAGATGTGCTTTTAGTTTGGCTTCTGACAGGGTGTAGAGGCAGGTGGTGTGCGAGCACCAGTGCTGCAGCTTTTGAGTTAGCTCATTAACCGTTCCTGTAATTGTGCTATTTCCTGTAGCTATGCAGGCTTGCAATCAGTATTTACAAATCACTATGTTTGGGCAGGGAGTGAGGGAAAGGCAATTATACAAGCAGATACTGCACCTTCAATTTGCACACAATGTTTTGTCTTTTACTATGGCGGCTTCAGCCTCGTCGAAAGAGCACTAGAGAGTAAATTGCAATTAACGTTGAGTTCTGAAGAAGGGTCACAGGACCAAAACGTTAACTCTGCCTTCTCTCTACTAATGCTGCTAGACCTGCTGAGTTTGTCCAGCAAGTCTGGTTTTTGTTTGAGAAACTTGATGTCACTTTGGTTTCACTACTTTAGAATGATCTGCTTTTCCTCTCTTTCTCGTCACTTTTGTCTTTCGTAGCTCTTCTCTTTCTTTTCCCTCCTGTTTACATTCCTCTCTTCATTTCTGGCCTCACCCGAGTTTCCCCTTTCTCTTCCTGACTCGTCTCTCCATTTCCAGTGTCTTACTGGCCTCTTTCTCCATCCCTCTCGCTCTCCTCCTTCTCCATCCCTCTCGCTCTTGTCCTTCTCCAGCCCTCTCGCTCTCCTCTTTCTCCATCCCTCTCGCTCTCCTCCTTCTCCATCCCTGTCGCTCTCCTCCTTCTCCATCCCTCTCGCTCTATACCTTCTCCCCCACATCTCACTCATTCTCCAACCCTTTCTGCCCCACCTCTCACTCTCTGACCTCCTGCTTTGTCAATCTCCTCTCTCGCCATCCCCCTTATCTCTCTCCTTCCTTCTCTCCATTCTCTTTCTCTGCACTCCTTTCTCTATCCTCTCCGTCCTCTACTGTCTCTGGTCCCCTTCTCTTTCTCTGTCTCCCTCTTCTCTCTGCACACAAGCAGGGAATGGTTTTACCCCAGAAGGAGACCATTCAGCCCATCATATTGTGCCAGTATCTGCAAGTGTTGTGCAGCTCGTTCCTGTCCCTCTCTGCACTCCGTGATTTTGAGATATCTATTCTGATACTGTCCCACTAATTGTGGCTTCTTTTTAAAACTCATCGTTTTAGTGATTTATCCTCCAAAAGGCCTCCACATCAAGGGTTAGGTAATGACTTGAGGGAATGGAGGGAATGAAGGGAGGAATAGACAGGGAAAACATAACACCTAATTATCAGATTATCTCAGAAAAAGGTCCTGTTGATGACAATCGGGAAGCGAAGAAACTTCATTTCTGTCAAACCTTTCGTAACCTCAGCTTGCCCAAGGCGTTGGACAGCCCGAGAGTGGTTTACCTCGGACTATGGCTGCTGTTGTAGTGGGGGGTATTGTGGAAGTTGTGTTGCGCACAGTGAGATCCCAGATGCCAGACACACAGAGACACACAGACACACACACATATACAGACAAACGCACACGCACGCACACAAACACACACACATACACAGACACATGCACACACACACATGCTCACACACACACACACACACACACATGCTCACACACACACAGACAACGCACACATACACAGACACACACACACAGACACACACACAGATGTGTGTATGTGCGTCTGTGTGTGTCTTTGTGTGCGTCTGTGTCTGTGTGCATCTGTGTGTGTGTCTGTGCATGTGTGTGTGCGTGTGTGCGTGTATGTATGTGCATGTCTGTGTGTGTATGCGTGTCTGTGTGTGTATGTCTGTGTGGTGTGCATGTGTCTGTATGTGTGTGTCTGTATGTGTCTCTGTGTATCTGTGTGTGTGTCTCTGTGTGTGTGTGTGTGCATGTGTGCGTCTGCATGTATTTGTGTGTGTGTGTGTCTGTGTGTGTGTGTGTATGTGTGAATTTCTCAAAGGGAGGATTTTCTGAGAGAGATTTGTAAGCCAGATTGACTGCAAATCGCTCCAAAGAATTCAGTCTGGGAATAGATGCAGAAATGGAGAGGGAAGGTATTCCTAATTGTCAGTGGGACTGTGGCCAAGTTATTAGCAGAACATTGGCTCAATCTGCTGGCTTTTTGCTGAGAGCATTCTGTGTGAATAGAAACCCAGCTCTGTTTGAAACTCATTAACCTTGTCCCGGGATTGTGAAGCGCAGGGAGCCAATGAGGAGAAGCCTCCCATCCAGAGTGATCTGGCCCCACCTCCCTGCTCTCGCTGTGGTTTTTATAGTGTGAAGGGTGTGCGGGTGTGTGTGTGTGTTCAGTGCGGGACACGTTTGTATGAACACCAGCTCTCTCAGCACACCCAAGTACAGTGCGGCTCATCTCTCAGGCTGCAATGCATACAGCAGCCAAACTAATGCTGCTCTGCCTGACCTGGGGAGCTCTGCCCCAGGCCCGCTGTTGGCTAAACTGGTTCAGGGGCAAGCCAACCCCGACAGTGCCCGTGGTCACAACGCGGAGGGTCACCCCGACCTCAGAGGGCCGCACCCCACCGGGAAGTTCAACCCCAGTCCAGAGCGAAGCGGACGTCACGGCAACGGCTCGGATTACTGCAGGAGGAGGCACGGCAACCAGCTCCGGGACGTGGGTGGACAAGTTGAAGGGAGAGGGGGCAACCACCTTGCCCGACAGTGCCCAGGCAGCGCCAGGAGGGGGCGAGCTCCCCATGGCGATACTCAATGCCCGGGACTTGCCGCGTATCCAGGACGGCCCATTGAATTCCACAGCCCGACTAGAGACACAGCCAGCGGCGCCCATCGCAGGGCGGACGGCGGGAGAAGATTCTGGAATGGTGACCCCGTCTCCGGCCCTCACCAGCACAACACCGGGGCCTACCACGACCGGCAGTGGCGCCTGGACACAGCGTTTGGTGACAACGGTTGAGCCCAGGGGCCAGGCCTTGACGACGGAGGAGGCATCGTCACCTTCCTCTCCCTCTTCCTCCTCCTCCCCCCTATCGCCGTCGCCAACCCCTCCCTCCCCGTCACCCAACGCCTCCTCACCCTACACCGCCTCGCCCCCGGCACTAGCGGCCCCTCACCACCACCCGGAGTCCGTCAGCGTCCCCACGGCCGGCCCCTCCCTGAAGCCTCCCTGCGGATCCCACTGTCCAGGTAGCACCCTAGGGGCGGTGGCACAGCCCGCTAACCGGCAGCCGGCTAATCGGACGGGCGGCGGGTATCCGGAGGGCGGGCGCTTCAGCTCGGGCACTGCACCCGGGCCCCGGCAGGACGGCCGGGAGGCAAAGGCGGGAGACAGCTCGGCCGCTGTGCGAGGAGCCCCGTGGATGGACGACCGAGCGCGTGAAGCTGCCAGCTCTTTACCACTGAGGGCAGGGCCTTTGGTTAATCGGCTATCCCATGGTGCTGTAGGAGGTGGCCACAAAATGGCGGCCGGGAAGGGCGGGAACTGGAGTGACGGCCAATCGCCTCCCAGTGCTCCGAGGGCCAGCGATCTCTTTAAGCATGATGGGATAGCACTGGATAATCCGAGCCGTGCTGTTACGCCGGGCTTTAATCGGAATGTGACTAACGGTGTGCTGGGTGCCTCTGCTGCTACTGCTATTGCTGCTGGTCTCGGAGCTGAGCTAGATTTACTAACCTCCGCTAAGGCTTCTGGCCCAGGTTACCGGGAGGCCCCGCCACAGCCCAGAGCCCCACTGCCCCCCGACTGCACTCCGCTGCCGCCCTCTCTGGGCTTCTGCCGCCCGCTAGGCCGAGGGGACATCCAACTCCCGAACCACCTGCACCAGGCCAGCATGGCGGAGATCCAGGAGGCCGCGCGGAGCTGGGGGGCGCTCCTGGCTTCCGGCTGCCACCCCGGCCTGGTGCCGTTCATCTGCCGCCTGCTGGCACCGAGCTGCGGCCCCACCCGCTGGCACCGGGGGCCGCCTTGCCGTGGGGACTGCGAGGCCGTGCGGGACGACTGCTGGACGGAGTTGGCAGGCAGTGGCCTGCAGCTGCCCTGCCACCTCCTCCCCGATGCCGAGGAGGGGGGCAGGTGCCAGTCTCTCGCTGTCGGCAGAGGTAAACGAGCACGCAGAAAAACAAATGATAAACCCGCCGCGCGCCCTCCTCCCCGCCTCAGCTGGTGCAGTGGGGCTCTGACACGAGGCACAAAGGTACCTTACCAGTTGTATTGCGGAACAGATGCTTATTGAGATGTTTTGCTGCCTCCCACAACAACCCGCATTTATGTAGAGCCTTTCAGGTGGCAGAACGCCCCGAGGCGCTTCGGAGGCACATATTTATTCTTTTTAAGCGCAGTCGGGCCGCTCTGAGAGACGGTAGGGCCTCGCTCCACAGACTTGGTCGAAGAGGTGGGTTTTAACGGTGTGCAGTCAAAGTGGTGAATGAGGTGCAGTCGCTTAGGGGGCACGTCACTGGCCTTTGGCATTCTGACATCTGGCAACACCAACAATCAGAGGTTGCAAGGGTGTGAGGGGGTAGGAGGCGGCAGGGGGCATTAGGACGGGAGTCCAGAACGGGAGGAGGGCTGGGATCTTGGGCGGGAGTGGCAGAAGATGGTGAGGGACAGGCAGGGAGGTGAGGGGTTTTGAAAGGGGAGCGGGGGAGAAGGGTGGGGTGTGAGGTCAGGGGTTTTATAATGGAACCTGGGGTTAACGAACACACGGGCGATGGGTGTGGTCACTGCAACCAGGAACTGGCCCAGAAAGTACTTTCTTCGGTTTTAGCAACTTATGAATTCCCAGATCATGCTGACAATGGTGCCAGGCTAACCGAAACCTGCTCCCTGTAATCGAGGCACTCAGTAACCTTCCTCAAGTGAACGAGGCTTTAACGCTAGACGCTCCCAACTGGAGCTGTTCCTGTTGCAGCAGGTCACCCAGGTGCTGCTGCTGCAAGCTGCCGGTTAGAGTAAATATTCACGGTTTGAGGGGAAAGTTTGGTTTGTTGGAATTACTGCAGTAGGAAGCTTAGCAACTGTGAATGTACGATGTGTGTGGCTGTAACTCCTGCTTTGTCTATGAATCTTAGAGTTGATGGGACTTAAGAGGCTAAAGATGAGTTCTCTTCAGAATTCCACTTCCATGTAATTGGTCCTGACAGTTTTGTTTTATTACCACCATTCTCACTTAGTTCATAAAACTTCAGCTGCTTAGATCCTGCTGGTTAATTAATGATGGCCAGCACCCAGGGTGTGTGTGTGTGTCTGTGTGTGTGTGGTGTGTGTGTGTGTGTCTGTGTGTGTGTGTGTGAATATGTATGTGTGTCTGTGTGTGTGTGAATATGTGTGTGTGTGTGTCTGTGTGTGTGTGTGTGTGTGTGTGTATAGAGTGTGTGGTTAGATAAATGTATGTATAGAGCTTGTGTGAGTGACTGCATTTAAGGGGTGTGTTAGGGGGTATATGGGGAGGTGTGTGAATGAGGGAAGGTAGAGGGTTTGTGAGTGAATGAATCTATCGGGAGTTTTGCAAGTGAATGAGTGTGTGTAGGGGTGTGTGTGAGTGAATGTGTGTGTAGTGGGTGTGTATGTGTAGGGGGTGTGTGTGTGTAGTGGGTGTAGGGGTTGGTGTGAGTGTGTGTTTGTAGGGGGTTGTGTGTAGGGAGTTGTGTGTGAATGTGTGTAAGGGGTGTCTGAGTGTGTGTTTGTAGAGGTGTGTGTGTAGGAGAGTGTGTGTAGGAGGTGTTTGAGTGAGTGTGTGTAGGGGATGTGTGAGTGTGGGTGTATGTAGGGGGTTGTGTGTGTAGGGGTTTGTGAGTGAGTTTGTGTAGGGATTGTGTAAGTGAGTGTGTGTAGGGTGTGTCTGTGTGTAGGGTGTATGAGTGTGTGTGTAGAAGGTATGAGTAAGTGTGTAAGGTATGTGTGCAGGGGATGTATACGTGTGTGTTTGGGGGATGTGAAGGTGAGTGTGAGGTGTAAGGGGTGTGTGAGTGAGTGTGTAAGGTGTGTGTGAGTGAGTGTGTAAAGGTGGATGAGTATGTGTAAGTGTATGTGTAGGGGATATGTGGGTGAGTGTGAGGTGTAAGGGGTGTGTGAGTGAGTGTGTAAGGGGTGTGTGAGTGTGGAGTGTAAGGGGTGTGTGAGTGTGTAGTGTAAGGGGTGTGTGAGTGAGTGTGTAGGGGTGGACGATTGTGTAGGGGGTGTGTAAGTGTGTATGTATATGTGTGTGTGTGAATGAGACTGTGTGCAGTGGTATGTGAGGGAACAATTTTGAAGGTCTGTACAAGAGTGATTGTCTGTTTTCCATCGTGTTAAATTGAAAAAAGGGATTGTTTTCTGAGAAAAGAAAAGTAACGTGGGGTGGACAAGCAACAAAGTTAAATTTGAAGCTAAAACTCCTCTTATGGAATTGTTAAAAATACCTGCAACTCCACTGGTCTGGCTCCTGCCAAATTTCATTGAAAAGCTGCCCTGGTTTGAAATACTCGTTCAGACAGCTGTTGACTGACTGACTTAAAATGGACCAGTGATACACAGCTTTTGCAAGCGGCTGAACATCTGCCACCTGTAGAAACCCTGCTCCAAACATAACATTCCTTTGCAAACTGGCGCTGAGAATGCTCCAACTGTACAAGGGGTGGAGATAGACCCACAGCATGTACAGGCTGTGCATTGTCTGATTTGCATCAGGGTGCACTGACTGTCTTTGATATGGTGTCGTTCTGGGGAACAGCATTGAGAAGTCAGTGCGAGCGACTATGGCCATACTAGTCTGAAAATGCCTGTTCTCATCTGATATCGGAAGCTAAGCAGACTCAGGCCTGGTTAGAATAGGGGTGGGACAGTGGCACAGTGGCACAGTGGTTAGCACAGCTGCCTCACTGCACCAGGGACCCGGGTTTGATTCCAGCCTCGGGCCACTGCCTGTGCAGAGTTTTAACATTCTCCCCACGTCTGCATGGGTTTTCTCTGGCTGCTCTGGTTTCCTCCCACAGTCTAAAGATGTGCAAGTTAGGGTGGATTGACCACATGCTAAATTGCCTGTAGTTTTGGGGGATGGGTCTGGGTGGGGTGCTCCAAGGTTTGGTGTGGACTTGTTGGGCCAAAGGGCCTATTTCAACACACTGTAGGGATTCTGTGAAATCTGGGTGCAATGGGACTGTTCTCTTTTAGAAATAATTTTCTCGTTGGCTATCCTCTGAGTGTTGGTCTCTGACCTTCACTCTATCTTGCACCATATGCAATCTGTTCGAAAGCTTTTGCAGCTGAAAACTGCAGAAGACGGTGAACACCAGTCTGTACTTCCTGAAAGATTAATGAGACTTTTATAATCGATGTTGCTTGAATTGTCTTTAAAATCCAGGATCTAGTGAGGTGTGGGCTGTTTCTACTAGATGGCTTCTGTTCTCAATTCTGAAGGATTTGGTTTGTGAACAAATGAATGTTGACCAGTTTGGGCCTGTACCCAATGGAGTTTAGAAGAATGAGATGTGACCTTATTGAGACGTGCGTGTTTCTGAGGGGGCTTGACAGGGTAGATACTGAGATGACCTTTACCCATGCAGGAGCATTTAAAACCAAGAGGAACAGTTTAAAAATAAGGTGTCTCCCAATGAAGGTGTAGGTGAGGATGAATTTTTACCCTCAGAGGTTCATGAGTCTGTGGAATCCTGTTCCCAGTGGAGGCTGGGTCATCGATTATGTTCAAGCCTGAGTTAGACAGATTTGTGTGCAATACTGGAGTCAACAATTATTGGGGTAGAGCAGGAGAGTGGAGTGTAGGTCACCACTAGGTCAGCCATGATTTCATTGAAACTGGAGATGCTGAATGGCTACAGTCATAGAGTCATACAGCATAGAAACAGGCCCTTCGGCCCTCCATATCTATGCCAACCACAAACTACACTAATCCCATTTACTTGGCCCATGGCTTACTGTATCCTGGCATTTTAAGTGCTCATCCGGATGCACCTTAAATATTGTGAGAGTCCCTGCCTTCACCACCCACTCGGGCAGCATGCTCCATATTTCTACCGTCCTCTGGGTGGGAAAACTCTTCATCGGATTTCCTCCAAACCACTTGCTCCTGCTGCCCACTCCTGCCCTTAATTCTCATGCCGTTGTGTATGTGAACGTAGTGATTGATGTTTAAGTTGATAGTTTGTTCGTACAGCAGGCACAATAGGCTGAAGGGCCTGCCATACCGTCA